TTTAAATAGATTTATAAAATCTAAATGACACAATCCTAGCTAATCTAGGATTCTAAATGGATAGATCATATCCTTAATGGATATATTTCATCCTTATTGAATTAAAACATGATAGACTATTTTCCTAAACTTAAATTTAAAAATTTAAAATAAAATAAACTAATTTCCTAAATTTTAAAAAGAAATTAACCAAAAATAATTGGACTAATGGGCCTAAGTATCTTGGGTTAGATTAATATGCTAAGGGTCTTTTTAAGTTTTTTAGAACTTCATTTGTTTTTAGAACTCTTTGATCATGTAATAAATCCCTAATTAATCAATTTAGGGCTTTTTTATTACCTTTGTTTTGGATCTACTAATTGATTTTCAATAACCAGATTAAATATACTAAATGTTAGATTATGACTTGTTCCTTGATTCCTATCATTCCCTCCCTCTCAAAGAGGATTCATCTTTAAATTACATGTATCAAATAAAAAAGGTTTACAAGATTATCACTCTATTTGCTTCGTTCAAGTATATAGTTGCATATTGGGCTTTCAATGTGTTGATTTGAGCTCTCCCACTATATATTATATCATCTTAAATATTTATCTCTTACTTTAATTTTCCCCTACTTGAATGACTTAGCTTAGAATAACTTTGTAACATGCCATGCCACTTAAGACTTTGTTGTCACATATATTTCCATCTAGGGTTTGATTGCCATGTAGGATATCATCTTAGATGTCACCTAGGATGACATATGGATGCCAATTGATTTACCACACAAGATCACATCACTTTCCTCCTATAAAGAAGAGTCATTCTCAACTCTTGAGAATCTTCAAATGGTGAGCTTGCATATTTATTATCTACTTTCATTAATACATTATCAAATCTTTGTAATGGAAAATCAATATAATTAGAAAAATAATTATTAAGAATGTTAGTGAATAAAAATTTTTCAACCTCTCCCTCTCGTTCTTTTTTCAACTTTTGGCTCGTTTTCTTTATTATATTTTTCAAAAACATTTTGATTAATCAACCTATTTAAATGGGTATACAAAAAATACTATATTTATGCATTTACAAGAGCAAAATTCCAGATTTCAAATAAGAAACTTTTGTTGATTCTTTTATAGATCTAATGGATAGGTTATATCATTGAATTTGGTTACCTTGTATCATAAGACCACCAAAAGTCAAGGACAACTCTTCTTTAAGAGAAGAATGATTTGAGCACGGGTGGCATCCAATATAAAATCAAATTAATAGGCTTCTAAGGTGGCATCTATGATGGCATTAAGAGTGGTAGAGTTAATAAGCTAGAGACAATATTTTCACCATTAGAGTCTATTTAGTCTAATTAAGTCAAGTTTTTCTATTTTTAATGAACTTTCATATTATTTTCATCTATTTTATTTATTTAGTATTTTAAGCCATAATAGCCTATCATAGGCATTTGAGCTTAGGTTATCCATTATAGTTTTTACATTAGAGCTTTTAAAGAGTTCGAGTAGAGTCAAGAGTATTTTATTTCTTTAAATACTACTCATATGTAAAGAGGGAGATATGGAATGAAGTTTTTTTTTTTTTTTCACAAGCTTTGCTTATTTTTTCAGTGTTCACAAGGGGTGGAACAAGCCTTAATAGTTAGAGGCCAATTTTCAAAAAACAAAAAAATATATTATTAATTTAAACTTTTAATTTTATAATTTAAAAATATTAGATAACAAATTATATAAAATTATATGTACTTTGAGAAAATTTTTGAAACACCTAAAAATAAATCATAAATACTTATGCTCTCTCTAGTCCCTTATATTATAAGGTACCTTGCAAAGTAAAAGCTGGTCTAGATTACAAGATGCCCAATTAGGATAATAAATGGTACTCCATTTTTTTGTAAAATATTTAAAAAATGAAACAATCTAATAATTTTTCTTAATCTACATGAAAATTGTTGAAAAGGATATATAAAAGGCAAAGAGAGTATATATCTAAACCACAATATAAGGTATTTTTAAGAAATCTTGCTTTGTTCAAAATATATAGCATAGGGTAATTTTTTGAATTGTTGTTCTAACTGTATTCCTGCACTACTGATTCCTCTTTTTGGAAAAAATATATATGAAAATTTTAATTATCATTATTAAGACACTTATATAAAATATTAAATGAGAATATAATTGAAAAGATATACAATATTTTAAAAGATTAATATTTTACCTAACTTTTTTTAAAATGGTGAAATAGTTACTAATATCATGTATTATAGTCTAAAGAGAATATATATATATATATATATATAATTCGTGTATATATGTGTGTATAATGTAAGACGTTATTTTATTTGGGATGAGAGGGAGGCCGAGGGCATACAAAGAAAGTGTATAGGCTCTTTGGGTAATCACGGTATCTAGAGCTCCTTGTTTGAGAGATCCAAAGTATAATTCCAACTCTATGTATGGGTATTTTTAATTGGTGTGTTCTTTGTGAGATAGCACACTGTAGAATTTCAGGTTGTTGTGTGAGCTTCTATGTTAAAAAAACAATGAAAAAATTTATATGAACTCAAAGCAAAATCCAATGAAATTATAGGGATAAATTATTATATTTTTTTTATTTTTTTTAGCAAAAGTATAGATTTTATTCTCTAACTTCATAAAAAATTTCAGCTTGGCACCTTAATTTATGAAGTATTTTTTTAATATTTTAATTCTAATATCGTTAATTTAAAATGGTATTTTTTGTGTAAATTATTTTTGTTTTTTTATTGGTTATAGGTATAATTGTATTGGAAAGAATCCTATTTGAGACACAATGTTATTTAAAAGAAATTTAATATGTTAACATTTGATATTATTTTTGTTGATAAAACTGAAGTGTTAGGATTAGATAACTAAAAATAGACTTTATAAAATTAAGAAATCAAAATAAAAACTTTCATGAAGTTAAAAGATCAAGGGAAAATTTTAATCTAAACCCCTTGATTAAATATAATAGAAAAAAGCCTCTTAAAGTTTGCAGTTTCACTGCAAACCGAGAATAATAAAATGCAATTAAAATATTAAGGGAAACAACTGTCAGAGGAAGCACAACCATTTTTGTGTGGGTAATGAAAAACTACTGCAATGAGAGAATTTTCAACTTTCTTTATCATGATTATAATACTTAGAATATAATTAAGTGAAACTACACGCACAAATAATTTTGATAAAAAAATTAATCACTTCAATATGAAAAATGAACAATTTTAATATGAGAAATGAATAATTTTAATACAAAAGATTTGCAACTTTATTTGCTATAATAACAACTTGAATAAAAATAAGTGAAGTTATGTATATCAACAACTCCTATAGAATTAACTACTTTAGTGTGGAAAATGAATAACTTTAGTGGAGAGAATTTATAACTTATTTTATCATGATAAAAATACTAAGAATAAAATTAAATGAAACTATATGTACGAACAACTTTGATAGTTTGAGAAATGAACAACTTTAATATAAAAAATTTGCAAGCATTGTTTAACAAGTTTAAGTCACTACAGACAATGAAGTAATTTTAGTTTGGATTTTAATTTAATTTCATTATTTTTAGTCTGCAATCAAATTTCAAACTTTAGGCGATTTTCTTTTTTATTATGTTTGGTTTGGGTTTAGATTGAAATTTTTTCAAAAATTATAGACTCAAAGTTACATTTTTATTCTTATTTTACTAAAACAATTGTCCGTTAATTCAGGAACGTTGCTATACCATGTCCTAACCACTATAAACTAAAAAAAAAAAAAAGACCAATTGGCATTGGATTAGTAGAAAAAAAGGTTTCAGTTGACTTTTGCTCTTTAACCTTACCCAAAAAGTTATTAAGGACTTTAAATTTAACTATAAATTAATTTTATTTTTTAACATTAAATATTTCCTATTCATCCTTAAAAACACTTAATTTCTATTAGTTGATCTCACTATTTTTTAATATTTTTTATCACTTTAAGGTTCTTTTCATCTCTTAACTTTTATTTGAATGATTAATAGATACCCAACTCAAATGTTTTATGTAGAAAAAATGTAATGTGAGATTTTCTAACGATTAACTCATAAAAAAAATAAAAGGATGATGAAAGAAAAAAATTTTAAAATTAAAAAATAAAATTAACTCATAATTAAATTTAAATTTTATTTAGTTGGGGGGAGGAAAAGGAAGGGGAGAAGAAATTTTAAAAAAAATTTCCACTCCTTCACCTTACCAAACAAGGGGAGAGGAGCACTCCCCTCCCCTTGCCTTGTCTGGATGGGACAAGGGCAAGGAAAGGGACTTCCCTCCACTTGTTTAGTAAGGTGGAGGGAAAGGAAAATTTTTTAAAATTTTTCCTTCCTTTCCTTCTAAAACCTTCTCCCTAATTTGGGAGGGGAGAATTTTAAGTTATCATGTCAGAGAAACTGTGTTATCACTAAAATTGAATTGAAAAAAAATACTTTATTTGTTAAAAATGTAAGGTATTTTTAATTAAATTTCATACTTTAATAAAGTAGTTATCTATTTTTAAATAAATCTTATTTTTTATATTTATTTTATTAAACACCCTATAACAAATGTAAAATTATTATCAATAGAGATACTTTTAAAAAAATAAATAATAACTACATATCGAAAAATTAAAAATATTTTAAATTTTTAAATATTTAATTTTTTAAAAATTATTTTATATTTTTAAATGGAGGAAGAAGAATTTCTTTAATTTTAGAGAAGAGTAATTTTTAATTTTATTTTATATGTTTAACTTTACAGCTTTGCCTTTGTATATAATCTAGTTGAATGTTTAAAAAATATTAAAATAATTTTATATCTTCGTTAAAAATAGAGAGCACTATATAAAAAATTAAGAATTGCTTACCATATCATACATTTCTGAAACACGATTCGCTGCATAGAACAGCGCGGTGCTGAAACCGAAGGCGAGATGTGAGAGAGGTTGGGGCGTTGGGCGTATATACGTTATTATTGTGTCAGTGTATCTCTGACACAACAAACAGCGTAGAAAAAGATTTCAGGGAAAAATAATAAAATGCACAGAAAAATAGAATTCGTGTCAAATCACTAAACGTTATTAAATATTAATTAAAAATCATTTGTTCTCGGAAAGGGAGAAAATTTCTGCAGAAGACGACGTCTTGAGATTAGAATGAATGATCAACACGTCGCTCTCTAGCTGCCTCTCCTTGTGAAACAAAAAAGTGCACAAACTTGTGAAAAAAGCAAGCATATAATCTATCTTTACCATCAGGCCCATCAGAATTCCGAGGTTGGTTTGGTCAGTATTATCTCGCTGTTCTTGAGGAATTTACTGAGAGTCAGAGGTAATTTTTAGTATTCGTAATCTTCTAGAGCTTCGATTTGAGCATGAATCTGGGGTTGGTGGTATTTGTCAAATTGGTCTATTAAACGTCCAAGTGTGCTTCTTTGACTTTTAAGTACTGTTTTTGGTTGGATGTTATTCTCATTTTCCGTGTGTTTAGCTTTGCGGGCACACTTGGGATAGTGACAAAGTTTGCGTTTTCGAGATAGCTGTTGGTATATTTTGCTTATATGAACTTCTGCAGTTAAGGGTTTTGCTCCAATTTTGCGAATTTTCGTCCGTCTTTGTGATTTGAATTCAATTTCATGTTTTCCCTTGTTTGAAATCCTTGTTAAAGTCGAATTTGCTGAAACAGGTCTCTTTTCGCTATCGCATCTCATGTTTTGTTCAGAGGAGTCTTGTCCTCCATTTCTATCCTATGCTATTTTTACCCAGTTTCTGCATTCTTTGGTTTTTTTACCTTTACTGAAGTTGGAAAAAAAAAAAAAAATCGTTTTTGCTTCTTGTCAATGGATTTTAATTTAGCTATCGCTTGTTTCTTGGACAGCAGGAGAGCTGAGCAGTAGTTGATGATGGCGGTGGTGGTTTATGGGTTGTTGAACCAGGGTTGCTGACGATGAGAAGGGAAGAAGAAGGGGGGATGCCAAGCTTCGATTCTCGGTTGCCAGTTCCAAATGCATGGTATATCTTCTTATAGTTATCTCAGTGTATGTTGTGAATTGTAGTGAACAACTTTTTAGCCTTTGTCTTTCCTTAAGAAAATTCATGTCATATCTGGAACATTGTGATGTTCATAGTTGGTTTTGCATGTTTGAGTTGGATATTCCATGAAAGGTTTGTTTATGGTGACATAGCCCAATTTTCTTGCATATTTAATATATACTAGAAGGTCCCAGTGAAATCTGGGTTGAACCGGGACTTCATCTAGCCCTGCAAGTTTTTTTTTTAAAAAAAAAAAAGAAAAGAAAAGAAAAGAAAAAGAAAAAAAGAAATCGGGGGAAAAAGAAAACTGCATAAATTCATCTGAACTTTAGAAACTCTATGAGAATATGAAGATACCAAAAACATTGGATGTTTCATTTTATTTTAGCTTTGAATTTAGTCTTTTCAGTCCATTGGTGGCTGTGCTCAGTGGTTTATTGTGCTGATAATGAAAGACTGTCTTCTGTTAGAATCTCTCTTGTGAAGATGGGATTGAATTCTAGGTTCTTGGGACAATGCTAAGAGACATTTTCAGTGAACGATCTTGTAACAGTGCTTATATATTGATCATAGTTACTGTTAAACTTCAACATAAAGAACTTCTAGTTTAGTTGGATTGGCTGAAGTGAACCATGCTAACTAGTGACCTGCTTCTAGGATAAATAGTTAAAAAGCTACGTGCTGCTCTAGTTTCACTGATCAAGATAAGCATGTGGCATTTTGATTGGGAGAATGAGGGCTCTGTGTGTGTGTGTGTTTGTAGCATATGTATTTATGCTTGTCAATTTGTTGCTCTTATGTATGCTAATTTAGGTTCATTGATGATTATTTTGATGGACTAAATGTATGATGTAATGATTGAATGAGAGGTTTGTATGCATCTATACATTGATGCACTTAAGAACTTCCAGGATGTCACTGATCCCAGTCAGTAGTTTCTCAAATATTCCTGGCAAAGAAGCAAGAAAAGTTTTCTTAGAAACACTAAGGAAGCTTGGAGAGAGTTTTTTTTTTTTTTAGATTTTTTGTTTAACAGCTAAAACAAGTGATGAGGTGACAAAATTTGATATTAATTACTCTGTGAAGCATCCAGTCAATATTGCTTTTGCATTTGTAGAGAAGAAAGGAACTTCATGATTTTCCCTAGGATGGCCATTGTGGGGCAGTTGTCCTCAAGTAACCTTTCCCCTCACTGCATTGGTGTGCTAAGTCAGATCAATATCTTCCCTTGGTCAAATAGAGTGGAGGAAGTTTGTCTATATCATGTGATGTAATAGGGAAACTAGATAAATATTTTACAAAATGAAGAGTTTGTTGTGGCGAGAAATTGACTGTAAAATATGACATGATTGAGTTGGGGTAGCAAAAAATAAAAATACTAAACATGGTGGAACTTTTGCAGCTTTTTGTATTACACATATTAAGCCCGTTAAAGATAATGCAACCAAATATATGAGGTGCGAGAAAATAGACGTCTGGATATTTGATTTGAAATGGGGTATAGGGAATTTAATTCATTGGATATCCTGGTATCTGAGTGTCTGTCATTACGCAGATTGATACTTTGTGCTCTGCTGTGTTTAGGATGTCAATAAAGTGCAACTTTGTCAGGACCCACTTACGCTAAATGACAGAGCAATTAAGAGATTTTGAGTATCTGTCTTTCTATGAAATTCAAAATTACATTGACTTCAATTTTGTTTGAGGAACTGTCTTATTGTGATATGAAAATATCCGATGTTTGTATCTTGGGTACTATGTTTTCTCATGTTGAATAATTTGGGGAAATGGAAACTCTGGATTTGTTCTTTCAGTTTGGCATTAATGTGTTTATTTTATTTTGGTGGTAAATAGGGGATTGAGTTTATTAACATGAAATGCATATTCTTAAGTAAGGCACTTCATTTTGATTCACCGAATCCTTTTACCATGCTTTAAACATGCCCTTACATCTGAAAGTTGAGTGCTGGGGCTCCGCCAAGTTGCTTTCTTTAGCTGGTGGAATTCAGTCATGGCTAGTTAGATGGATTCGTGTTACGGTAGCTTGATGTTGTCCGTGCAAATATATTGGTGTGGCAATAGATGGGGGTCTTCTTAGATGATGCCAAAAAGTGCTGTGGTATTCTTTATTAAAATAGGCTGAAACAAGATCATTAATTTGGATTTGGAACCCTAATGGTTCACATATTTAATTTTGTATTCATCTTCTAGATAACATTAATTTTAATGTGCATTATGTTGACAGAGAAACATAGACTGAATAAACTCTTGGCCTCAATCTGACAAATTATGGTGTTCAGCCCTACAGAAGGAAGCACATTTGAGTCTTTTCATGTTTCTGACTTTGGAGCCTTTGATCAATCTGTCAGATATCGCTTAGATGACGCTGCTAACTTGACTGGAAGTAAGTATTGCCATATTCCAACCATGACAATTTTATGCTTACGAGCACACAAACACATAGATATCTTATTTTTATTTCATGTCGTAACAGTTCTGCTTCAAATGGTCTGCATAGAACCAATTTATTTGTTTGGACCTAATCATTGCCGTATGCAACCTGTCAGTGCATAACTATTAACTACACATTAGCTGCTACGTGCTAGTTAAAGAAACATTAATGGATGATGTGATAATTTAGAACCAAGGAGAAGATGGAGAAAAAATGACACCGATGAGACCTAAGTAGTCAGAGATGCCTCATTCCACATTGAACAGTAGGTAGTATGGGCTATTTTATGGAGTATTTAAGTGTGTTGGTTCCCTCTACTAAATAGTTAACTTCTATGGGAGGGTTCATTGCCTCTTTTGGGTGCCTGTCAATTGATATCAGAGTTGGTGGCACTTGGCTTTGGAAAGGGCTACTTGTGGAGGGTTTTGATTGGCAAGGAACTCACGTGAAGTGTCAAAGAGACAATCTATTCAAGGATAGCAAATTGGCGGAGACCTTGACAATATAGGGTGCTTAGTGGCACTTTAAGTAGTGTGAATTGTTTTATGGGAAATTTATGTGGTTAATTGGTTCTTCCACCTCTGTAGTTAGCTCTTGGGAAACAGTTCTCCAACCCTCTTTGGGTGCTCAACTTCCCATCATATACCAACAGTTACATATGACATCTTGTTAGTTTAAGATCTACATCAACTGGTGCGTTACTTTTTTTTTTTTTGGCCACATGCTGGTGCATATAATTTGATCAAGTTTTTTTTAGGAAAAACATAACTTTGAGTCATTGCACTTTGCTTATATTTTGCTATTGGTGCCCGCACTTTTTTTTCCGGTGTTTTAGGTCCCTATGTTTTTTATTTTTGGTGTTTTAGGTCCCTCCAAGGTCTCTATACTTTATTCATGAAGGAACCTAAATCATTGAAAGACAAAAGTATAGGGACTTAAAACACTGAAAAAAAAGTGTAAGGACTAATAGCAAAACGCAAGCAAAGTGTAGGGATCTAAAATTATGTTTTTTCTTTTTTTGTTTCATTGTTGAAAAGTATAAAATTTGTTTTCCATTTCCACCCTTCTGTAATGGTTTTATCCGATACATTTTTCAGACCAAGTGTCTAACTTGACCAAAGTAAGTAGCCAAACAAATTCTCTTGGTCCTGTTCCTGTTGGTAATTTTGATAAGGTTAGTTTCTGTAGATCTTTTCATCTAATAAACTATCATATTTGGTAAATAAGATGATTTTTTAAAGGCTTCATTTTCTAATTTTGCACGTTTTATTCCTTCCTTTTGTTTATGCTTTTCTTTTTCTCCATGCAGTTGTCAACTTCACTTGATATAGACAAATTCACTAAGCAATCAGAGTCCCAAGTGTTGCAGTTGCAGAAGGTCCAACCATCAAATTTGGTAATCATATCAGGTGGTAATACAGAAAACCAGGAAGAGTCTGCCATGGCTGATGTTAGTCCCAGGACAGATATTTCTACAGATGCTGATACTGATGAAAAGAATCGGCGGGTGATGTTTTGCTACCTTTCTGGATATGCTGTCTCCCATTTTCTATTTTATTGACGATTCTCACGTCAATATCCCCTATTTGTACACTAATAATTTATAAACATCTATTGATTGTAAAATGATAGAGTTAGATTGTGTTATTGATCTAAATCAAAATATTATACAAACTTAGTGCATGAGCAGAAGCCTTCCTTTTTTGTTTCTGTTCGTTAGAAAGTTGAAGTTATGCTGGTTGAAAATACATGACAATTGGACATTGCGTGAATGCCATCTGTGCAGTTTGATAGAAGTCTCTCCAATGCTGCTGTTGCTTCTGATTCCAGTGACAGATCAAAGGATAAGTTGGACCAGAAGGTTATATTTTCTTCTTTTTGTCACATGGATAATACCTGAGGTTTTAATGGCAAACATTACATGTTGATTTTTTTATTAAATTTTTGCAGACTCTCCGCAGGCTTGCTCAGAATCGGGAGGCTGCGAGAAAAAGCCGGTTGAGAAAGAAAGTAGGAAATATATATTTACTGTGGTTTTCATATTCTTTATTTATTTTATTAGGGATGCATCTTGTAATTTTTCACTCTACCATATATTTATTGAAGATATCATTTTGTTAAACTCTTATCCAGTACAATTCTGACCACTGTCCACTGACAATGGAAAACAAGATTTAGGTGATCTTGACGTAGATATGATGTGATGACTCTTATGCTACCGAGGCGAATTTCAGTTTAATTATGACTAAGGAACATTGATTGATTTCAGAATTTAATACCTAGTTCTCATCCAAAGAACGTAATACTAAATGTGAGTCTAAATACTTTCTCCTCCTCTTGTTTTTTGGTTTGGTGACAAGGATGAAGATGAACAAACTTGGAATGGTATAAGGGTATTTTAGTATTTGCATTCATCCTGTTTAAATCCTTTGAGCATGTACGTAAGTACATCTGACCCAACCACTGATTATGGCTTCTCAAATTCTCTCTTGCTTGTCCAGAATATAACTTGATTCTCTTGAATTTTTATTTATTTCTAAGAAATTAGTTTCCTTCAGAGATTGCATGAACTGAAGTTAAAGAGCTTATGTATTATATGTGTGGCTGCTTTGGGTGATCAAAGCAATAACATATCTAACTCGGCCTTTTCCCCTTCAGACCTTTATGGATTTTCCGTTTCTTAGAGTGACACAGTTTTTAAGGGTCTCATGTATGTGACAACAATAGCCATGAATATATTTTCTCCCTACTCAGTGTTTTCAATCCAGGAAGACTACTGCATCACCAGTCGGCACAGTACAGTTCTTCTCTGAAATGATTTATTGCATACTTTTAATGGCTTTAATTTCAGTAAAGCCCCCCTCCAAAAAAAAAAAAAAAACCTCCCATGTGATTGTCTATGCAAAATGAATCTTAAATGGACTTGATATAGTGGCAAATGTGCATGAGTTGCAATGGTAGCCCTGCTATATTTAGATTCCTTGACTTCTGGTAGTTGCAAGAACTAGTTTCCTATAATTCAAGCCTTGATGTCATTTTCTTATATTTGTATCCGTGTGGTTTTTTTTTTTTTTTTTTCCCTGTACAGGCTTATGTCCAGCAGTTAGAAAGTAGTCGGTTGAAGTTGACCCAACTAGAGCAAGAGCTTCAGCGAGCTAGACAGCAGGTGTAGTTTAACTATTCCTTGCTTTTGAATTACCTCAATGCTCAATAGACTTCCCTTCTCATTCTCCCCCACCCCCTATTAATTGTTAGCCATGTTTCTTTCCCATTTATGTATATTTTAAACTAAATCTCTGTTTATATTATCTTGCAGGGAATCTTCATATCAAGCTCAGGCGACCAGGCACATTCAATGGGTGGAAATGGTATCCTGCTTTCTTTAACATATTTTTGCCTCAAATTTGAATGTGAAAATATTTATAAAGAAATTGTAGCTTGTTTTGTTTGTTTGTGGAGGTCATCTATAACGTCAATTACATTTTTTTATAGGGGCAATGGCATTTGATGTAGAATATTCTAGGTGGCTAGAAGAGCAGAATCGACAAATTAATGAACTAAGAGCAGCTGTAAACTCCCATGCTAGTGATACAGAACTCGCATGATTATTGATGGTATATTGGCACATTATGATGAGATTTTTAAGCTGAAGAGCTCTGCTGCTAAGAATGATGTTTTCCATTTGTTGTCTGGCATGTGGAAAACACCTGCTGAGAGATGTTTTCTATGGCTTGGGGGTTTTCGGTCATCAGAACTCCTCAAGGTGAGCATATTTTGACTGTACATCATATGGTTAAAGAAAAGATATAAAGGTTTTCCTGATCAGTAATTTAACCTAGTAAAAAAGATTAGAGCTCTCTTTTAGGTCCTTCGGATCATCACAAGGTTGAAGGAAGTTGAAACTTACAAAGGTTAACATTTGCCTACTACAATCTTATAATCGAAATTTTATTGTAAATTAAATTATACACTTCTCTCTGCTTGCTCGATACCTGTATTTCCTCTCAATAAGCCCATCTCAAGTCTAGAACCATTCTAAGGTCAAGTCTTTTATTTAGACAGAAGCATCCAATAAGATTAATACATGTTGTAGATTAACTCGTCACATATCTCTTGATATGAGCAATATGCCTAGATCCAGTTCAGAAATAATAGCCCAGGTACTTTTGTTTTGTTTGGCAGCTATTTTCCTTTCATAAAACCTGTCTGTAACTCTTGACGGTCATTAAAGGAATAGTTTTTATGATTGGATATTAAAATTTTCACAAGAATATGGACATAATCTTTTGGCAATGTGCACTTAAAAGACTTGTTGCCCCTGTATTGTTATGGGAAGAAATTTTTGCATGGACTGATGTACCACGTTATTTATATACTATCTAATAAAAACATGTTATGTCAAATGATTGTAAATATAAAATGATTCTGCCATTAATAATAGCAGAGAGAGAAAGCAAGAAATTAAAGAGGCACTTTATTCTAAAAATAACATTATTAAAAATAATTACATATGAGACTTTATTTGATTAAATTGTTGCAATCTTATTAGATAGAGCATGGATGACTTAGTCCACTGGGTCTACGCAAGAGTTTCTCTTGTTGTGGGATAGATGTGTTTATGGCTTTTTATTGATGTTCTAAACATGCTGTCTTTATATGTTAATACACGTTTGTCCCAATTGTTACTGAGACAGTTTTTTACCCAAGATCTTGATCATTCTGGAATTTCATTGACTTTGATTTGAGGGCTATAATATTGGTTTCAGCTTTTGGTAAATCAACTGGAACCTCTTACCGAGCAGCAGTTGGTCGGTATTACAAACCTGCAGCAATCGTCTCAACAGGCGGAAGATGCATTATCTCAGGGTATGGAAGCATTGCAGCAGTCTTTAGCTGAAACACTGTCCAGTGGATCCCTTGGTTCATCTGGTTCATCAGGGAATGTGGCAAATTACATGGGTCAAATGGCTATGGCCATGGGTAAGCTAGGAACCCTTGAGGGCTTTATTAGACAGGTAAATTTTTCTTTCTTGCACCTGTATTCACACTGTTCATCTTTTTCATAAGTAGTTTCTAACTTCTAGTCAAACCATTCTATAGCTTTTTAATAGTAACAATTGCATTTGATAAAATCAATGAAAATAACTTTTTGGTGTTTGATATCAAGTTTTTTTCATAGTATTATGAAACATGGAAAGACCTTTTTTTTAATTAGGAAACAGTGTTTCACCGGTCATGATTTTGTTAGAAAACTTGATAGTAATAACAAAAGAATTTGATTCAATTTTGTCCTAAAATCAATTGCTTTGGGCAAAAGGAAATGTTATCTTTCTCTTTGATTTATTTTGGGGGGAAGTGTTTGCTGGGGAGATAGATTTTCGAGTTGTTAACTGTAAGACATGTCCATCTCTGTTTTCTGACACGTTGAAGATTAAACGCAGACATCTTACGACATATTACCCTTTGTGTAAGAATCTCTAGTGTTATTAATTGTGAAACTCTTGTATAATTTAGAGAAGCAGAAACACTAGAGTGAAATAATGCCTCGGCTCGCTTTCTCCATTTTCTCTCTCTCAATTCTCTCTCCTGGTTTCTTTTATCTTTTCTCTCACTGAGCTTTACAATAAAAGCTCTAGAGATCTAGACTCTTTCTCTTGACCTATGGACTACATGTAGTATGTTGCTTATTATTTCTATATGAACTTGTTTCAATGTAGCCTCAAATCTGTTACTTTTGTCGCTGGTTAAAGAAATATGCACCCCAGCCCCTTTTTCCTTTCCTTTTTGGTTATTCAAATTTTACCTATTTCTCTTCCACCCATTGAGATGCTGGTGAGGAGGGTGAAACTGACAATTTTCAATTCTGTGAAAAGGGTTAGAAGAAAAACCAAATTCAATGAAGTTATTGCAAGAGATATTATGATTAACGATGTATCCAAAGATTTGGCTGTTGATAAAGCATGATGGCATTGTTCAATATATAGCCAAACTTACCTAGCGGGATAAAATTATCCAGTCCTTTCATCACCCTCTTAGGTTAGATAATGGTTTTTTCTAGCATTGCAAGTGAACATGAGATAACATTAGATGAATTGTTGTCTCCACTAACCAACCTGTATTAGCTTGTAACAGTTAATGGCAGTTTCTAATCATCCTATCTTCTCTTTTTGTTCGCAGTACCTTCTTTCTTCTTTCTTCTTTCTTCTATCACATAGGTAGTATAAAACATTAAATTTAACCTACAAATGGCAGAAGAGCTTTTTCTTCCCTCTGGACATGGCACAAAAGTTTATTACTGTAGGTGCATTCAATTGACAAAAAGATGATTGAGAGACCATATTACATATTATTCCACATTATTTCTAGAAAATACTTCATAGAATACTTTATGGTGGTTCTGTTAGGCTGACAATCTGAGGCAGCAGACACTGCAACAAATGCATCGAATATTGACAACTCGCCAGTCGGCTCGTGCGCTGCTCGCTATCCATGATTACTTCTCTCGGCTGCGTGCTCTCAGTTCTCTCTGGCTGGCTCGCCCAAGAGATTGATGGGATTGCAACCAAGATATCCAAAAGTTGCTTTTCATGGATGAGGCAGTCCCAATCAACACTTACATCATCATCATCATCATCATCATCATAGGCATTTTACTCTTGCTAGATTTTCTGTCACTTTCTTTATGTATTCTAATGGTTGTGATCATAGTTTTAACACCTACAGGTTTTCTTGTGTTGTCTGTGTTTGACTGATGTTTTTGTTTCACAAAATCATGTTGTCTAGAAATGAAAGTGTTAACCACCTATATGTATTTGGTTTACTGTTACTAATAATATTGATAACAAGCAGTGCGCTTGTAACTGATGGCCTTTTTTCTCCTGTATAAAAAATGGTAGAACATTTTTTTAAGTGATAAAATGTTCAAGATATAGTCAGGAATAGATGAGAACACCTTTCCTAATAAGAATTTGAATATTAAATTACTATATTGTGAAAGACTAGTCTTTTTTATTAGATTCAATTTCTGTGAATAAATTGAATGAGGAATCTATCTTATAATGTATTGATAGAAGTTACATCTCAAAATAAAATTTTAAAATACAAAGAAATGGCACTCTAGTCCTTTTTCACTTATTTTAGGTTATATTTGATAAAAATTTTCAAAATCAAATAATTTACATGTACAACAAATATTATTCCTAGTGAAGATAGATTCCGGGATAAATTACAATAAAATTGATTCAGTTGATATATTAAATTTATTGTTCATATATTTTCTCATTGGCACTTAAAATTCTCACAAAAATTTAACTTAACTTGCCAAAAAAACAGAGAAAAAATATAACTTTATGTCAATTATTGATTTAGAACAAATCAATTTTTATAATTTATTACATTAAAGAATTATAAAAATTGAATTATTTCAAGTCAAAATTTAAAAATTAAATAAATAATTAAGAAAAAAGGTTTAGAAATCAAAAGTTACATTTTTTGAAAAAAAAGGTATAATATTAAGGAATAAAAATTTTTTTATTTCACAATCCAATTTAACGCTACACCACTAACGCATGAAAGTGAAATCCGGCATCTTTAAGAATTGAGTGATCAGCAACAATCACTCCATCCCAATGTGCACAGACATGAGAGTGAGTTTGAACTACATTCTCTAACCCTCTTTTGCCCGTAATCAATCATTCAGATCACTAAAAGGCACATTATGAAGGATCTTTAATTCCAAGGGCATGTTTTCTTGATGTTGCTTTTGCTTCTACTCAAATGGGTCTTGTTAACATAAATGGCCTATTAGCTTAACAGCGTCAAGACACCTTCAAATGGAAAAGGTCACAAGTTTGAACCAAGTAAGATTGAAGTAAATAGTGGTAGGTGCGTGTATATATGCATTCTTAGTGTGAGTGATTAAACAAATGAATGAATGAATGGTCTGGTCAACACCTTTAGAAAATCTGCCATTTAACGATTACTTTCTTCCCCTTGTTGCATGGTACTGTTTCCCTTCTGTTTTCAATAGACTAAACTGTAATCTGAAATGAAACCACACTATTTATAACTTGTACATAATTTATAAATAGTATGACTCGCTTCAAGGATACATGCAAATGTTACATTACCATGTCCCCTGAAAATCTAGTAGGCCCTTGGCCATTGTTGTATGCTAAAATCACAGGAAAGTCAAAAATCATTATCCTTTATTCTTTTACATATTAAGCCAATACACTATTAAGGAACAACTTCTACCTTCTGCATAGTGGTAGATACATGTGTACTAGCATTAACAAAACAGTCAATAAAAAACAACAGTTAAATCTGAAACAAAGTGACATCATCTAATTTTTTCTTTTTTCTTTTTTTTTAATCCAACAGCGGCACAAATCAGTTCCAGATGATTCTTTATTTGAGCAAATGGAAGATACCAGACCAAACTTCAAAAGTAATTGCTCTTGTAGAAATTTTTCAAAAAGGGAGAGATTCCCTGGTCTTTTACGCCCGAATCCTGCACAAGCCCTTGTTTACCTACCACGTACTGACCAATGATATGATGCCTCTGCTTTGCATGATCCACAATGTCCTTCAACTCTTCCATTGCCTTGAAGACCATCATATCAATCACCTGAAAGTCAACAATTATCAGCAAACAGCAATGATGAAAGGGGCAACAAAATCTTGTTCCATAGCTAAATTTCTTATGTCTCTACCAAAGCATCATATTAATTCGAGGTCCTTCAATTATCACTGGCCTTGACTAGCCAATTCCATGATAGAAGAACCATGGTTGAAGGAATATTATATATGCAAACACAACGCATTGTTTCTTATACATAGCATGGGAAAACAGAATGAATCGTGAACTATTCATCTCTGAATTTTTCCACTGGAAGGGATCCAGCCGAATAAAGGAAGGGAGCAGACAAATTTTCAAATAACACAAGGTAGTAGCTTGGAAATTCTAGCAAAACAAGACGGACAAATAACTACAATAGGTATCATCACCAGAGAGATGATAAGTCCAAACACACAACATGCTTGAATTGGAAATTTGGTCAAGGGTACCAAACGTGATAATGATTTGTTGTAGATTTCAATGAGCTCAGTTCATCAGGCTTTCTAAGGATTTTACCTCCAAAAATGCCAAAAATTTGAAAAATTAAACGTGATAGATTACTTTCAGAAAATCTTAGAATCTTGAACCTAACACAAACATGTAACCTACTCTCATCTTTAGCTAAATCTAAGCTTATTTGAAAATAAAATTATTCAGTAACCTTATTATGTCCATTGCTGACGATGGACCTTTAAAAAATGATTCCGATGAAAAGCCCCTAGACACGTAATGTATACAAGAACCCATTTAAGGATCTGAAGAATAGCATGTGAATAAAGAAAAATAGCTGACACTCAAACATGTAGAAACCAAATTCACCACAACATAAATGTCAGAAAAAAGGCGAAGAAGGGATATGAATGCCTTTGGTGCACCTAAAGTTAATCTAGATCGAAGCATTGAGAAATAAGAGAAGAATTCAAGAGGCTGAAAGAAATTTTGTTATAATTTGTATGTTATTTTGAGATAATATTGGATAGGGCTGTGCAAAAGCCCTCTAGTCCTGCTCAACCCAGTCTGATCCGAGAAGGTCAGTCTTGTCTGGTCCTGTTAAAAACTAGTCCTTTAGGACTAAAAAGACTAAAAAGACCAGATTGTTTTTTCAGGTTGGACTAGATTAGAGACTAAGCATTTGGATCACTTAGTCCAGTCTGGTCCTATTAAATTTATCTAATATGATTATAATTAATTTACTAATTATTCATAATAACATGCTAAGACTATTAATAATTTAACAAGTCTGGTTCCTCGCACAGTCGCTCAAACTAATAATTTAATAATTTGGACCACTTAGATTGTAATTAAAATTTTTTTCTTCTTGTTGGAAATTATTATGAATATATTATGATTATAAGTATTTTTATTATCTTAATTGAGTTTATTAAGTTTAAATGAATTATTGTCTCTCATAAAGAAAAAAGGAAAAAAAGTTTAGTGAGTACTGGACTAACAAGAAGAATCTTCCAGTTCTATAGACCAAATCCAGTCCTGTTAATCTTCAGGTTATTACTGGACCAAATCGGATTACGGGTTGTTTAACCTAGTCCTTCTCATGAAAGAGAATATACTTCGAGTTAGGCTGAAGTCCAGTCCCGTTCAGTCTTTTGTACAGCCCCAATATTGGGATATCTACCCACGTGTCACTGTAAGAAACTCTTCTGTGAGCATTAAATTCTGTGAGAGTATTGCAAAGTTCTTGTACGAAAAACTTGGATGCAAGTTTTGTTGCTGGAAAGAAACCTAGTCATTGAGTTGTTAAAATATGTGAAGATTTTCTTCATATATGTTTGGTAACTAGTGGTGTAGCCTTCCATTTGCTAGGTTCTTTGGCAGAAAAACCTAGTAGATCGGCTACTAAAAGCTGAGATAGCTATCCTTGGTAAACCTGAAAAAAATATGTGTGGCCTTTCTTCCATAATTTTCCCGGGCTCACAGCTTAAGCTTTGACTAAAAAAGTTTCTTGAGGTAGTATCAAAGCCTCAATGACCAAATGGTCAAGTGTTTGATCCATACCACACTCCAATCCTTTTAATTAAAATTAAGTTTCATCACAAGGCATGATGGGACATTTCCTTGTCTATACTTAAAGTTAATTGGGTTTTCATGAGTAGATGCATCCCAGAGATTATAATAAAACTATTAATAGGCCTTCACTTTCCAGATCAAGCTTTGAGTTGAAATGGGCTTTTAACTTTGTGAATTCTCTAATGTTTTAGACCATTTATAGGCTTAAGAAACAAATCCTTTCTTTCCCAAATAAGCCTGACATAATTTTAGCAAAATGAATCCTGCAGAAAATGAACTAGGCTCAAGATTAGAAGCTATTGCACAAAAAGGTAAAGATCACCGTAGCAAAAAGCATAATTAACTCATCGAAACAGATAATAAACATTCTTTTAACATTTGAAAACTTTAGAAAACAGTATTCAACATTCTTACCTTTTTCTAAGAAGGCAACCTTATGTTTGAAAGCAAACAAAAAGATTTGAAGACAATGTAGACACTGAGATTTATTTGTACTTCCGTTAAAAAAAAAAATATTACTATGCGGTCATAATGTAAACTTCCACAAGGATTAAACAGTATATGAAGACAATCAACCACAGAAACAGTTGAAATGAAACAATATTATTAGATTCAGTGCCTTTCAGTCCAAGTGAATCCCCACCAGTAAATCAATAACGAAGAAGGGAATAAGTTCCAGAAACCACAGTAAGCCTATGACCCCTTGTTCAAAGAGAAACGATTGTGCAACAGTTTTGCTATATGATTCTATAAGAAACATCCTCATCTCGATATACTATTCCGATACAAACCTTTCCGAGCGCTAACTACTCTAACCATCTCATAATTTTTTATCATTTAGCTCTAAACATGTTAATATAGCCAAGAAAATTCTTCCTCGTAAATAATCCTTACAAAATTAATATATCCAAGCACGAATAACAATTGTTTAAATATGAATTTACAAAACATCCGAAACCTGCCAAGTTGCTAATTTTCAATCGCAGTTCGTAAAGCAAAGGTAAAAAGCTTTACCCCGGAAAACCCAGAAAGAAGAATCCCGAGTAGTTGGAGGGAAGGAGGAATGCGGCGAAAACCCTTAATCGATGAAAAAACCGAAAGAGAGAGATTAACCTTAGGATTGGTAATGTGGGAATTCTTGCGGATCTCGGAAGCAACAGTGGAGCGGAGCTGAGAGGGAGAGACGGCTTCGTTGAGGTTGTAGACTTCCATGATGGTGGGGAT